ATCCATTCGTAATGCTTTGCGCTCTTTGGTTTATACGGGAACATCCGCTCTATTCAATGTCCGAGGTGAAAGGTGTTCTAGCACCTAGTCAAAGCATTAAGACTGTGAAAAGCTCATTAAATCAATCATCACCTTGTGCTTGTAAGAGGCAGTAAGTTGAGACCTGTGTGCTTGTGTTCAGTGACCACACTTGTTGGGGTTGGTCAAGCTTCTACTAAGATTATGGAGCGGCTTGTCCTGCTTCACCAGAAATAGCTCAACCCGATAGATAATCCCCTAACTGAGCAGAGGTGACATGAAAAGCGTAAGGATTATCTGTCGCTGAGCGAGACAGTGGCCAGGTGAAAGTGTCGCCTGCTTCACAGGTCTCCGAGTCAGGCAGAAATGTAACACCAGTAACCCTGAACACGGTTTCCTTTTGATCGTGTGTTTTACCTGGGAGAACTGCATGCTATTATACTCTGAAACAGAGGGCTTCCTCACGGGAGGATTGTTAATTTTAATGTTTAGGATACATGCATGCTGGGAATTTATTCTTGTTTTCTTATTGATGACTGAATCTGTGCCCACAGAATTTAACCTCCAGTTATTAATAAAATTTGGAACATGCTGTGCATTTACTGTGTTCATTTATTAAATATCTTGGCTAATTTGATTTTGCTTTCAGCTATTCAAAGTGCAAAGTGTTGTGCTCTCAGTTGAACACTTTTGATGGACTGGATTTTGATACAGATTCCCTGATTCGGCTTAGATTCATTCTGATGCATTTGGGTATTTTTCAGTCCAGTTTGTTCGTACATAAAAGAAATTCTATCTCTGCTAAAGCTATAAGCTGTACAGGGCAGTTTATCAGACCTATTATATTGATGCTTATGGCATGGATATTGATAAAGATTTCCTGATTCGATTCAGATTTACAGACATTTAATTCTGATTTTGTTTTGATTCCGGTTCATTTGGGTGTATTTCAGTTATAAAGAAATATACATTTAATCTTGATCTTGATATTTTAGAAATTGATATTGGATGGTTTAAATAAAGAACCAGAAACCAGCACTATTTAAACAATTGACAGATTCAAGATATGGATTTTATTGGTTGGGAATCAAACCTATTGAACATTGGTATGGTATTGCTGTCATGCTTTACTGCTTGAGATACAGGACAGCATTTTTAAATCAATGAGATACGATTTTTCCTTTAAAATCAGGGCAGAACATGTACAATAATCTGCAGGTTTTGTCTAGGCCTAGTGGGTGCTTCCTTCTTTGTGGATAGACTGTGACTGTGTTGTGTGATATTCTCTGGGACTTTGTGTCCAGTGTATTTCAAAGCTAAAAAAAACAAAACAAAACAAAGCCCTGAGGACAATGCAAACTCGTAAATACAAAACACTAAAAGAGAGAAAATGCAACTGAGCTTGCCTATAGAATAATGCTTGCCACAGCTAACAAACCAAGAGGGGGAATCAGATGAGGAGCAGCAGAGGAGAAATTCAGTCACATCAGTTTCTAGATCAGAGAGAGAGAGAGAGAGAGAGAGAGAGAGAGAGAGAGAGAGAGAGAGAGAGAGAGAGAGAGAGAGAGAGAGAGAGAGAGAGAGAGAGAGAGAGAGAGAGAGAGAGAGAGAGAGAGAGAGAGAGAGACAGACACACTCTTCCTCCTTCACTGTCACAGATACAGCTCAGTCAGAGACCTCTACTTCAATAAAATTAATAACTTAATACAGGGCTTTACAGCCATGACTGAAGTAGAACAGATAAAGATCCTACTAGGAGAAGGACAGACCGCAACACTGGCTGCCAGATACGTGTATGTGTGCCACAGCCTGAGAGACAGCAGGTGAATGTGTGTGTGTGTGTGTGTGTGTGTGTGTGTGTGTGTGTGTGTGTGTGTGTGTGTGTGTGACCTCAGGGTGTTTCCCTACTGCCCACCACAGTGACTTCAGTAATGTGTGTGTGTTTATGTATGTTAAAACACTGTGGTATCAAAATGTTCACAGAGATTCTAATCTGTTACACTGTTCACTTGTACAATTAATTTAATTTGTACATTTAAATTTAATTTATGTTATAATATTCAAGTATGTTGATGTCTTTATAATTTTCCTATGTATTCCAAGCTTTGGCAATATTGTCATATATACAGTCATGCCAATAAAGCAATTTGAATTGAATTGAGAGAGAGAGAGAGAGAGAGAGAGAGAGAGAGAGAGAGAGAGAGAGAGAGAGAGAGAGAGAGAGAGAGAGAGAGAGAGAGAGAGAGAGAGAGAGAGAGAGAGAGAGAGAGAGAGATATAGCAACAGCAACACTAATGCAATCAACATCAGCTGAGTCAGAGCTTTGGCCTGGGATAAGACTCCACACCAGTCATCTCAATATACCAGTAACACAGCCACTCAAACACACACACACACACACACATACTCACTCTCATAGATCAAAACGTGATCATCCTCAGGATCTATTCTCCCAGGATTTGATTAATGTATTTTCAAGCTGTTTGCCCAATCTTCCATGAGACTCTTCAGTCATGCTTTATGGACTAGACTTAGTAATGACCAGTGGTGTGATTTTAAAGCAGATCATTCTGTCTCCTATTCATTTCAGTAGATATTAATATCTTAATTTGTTAGAACTAGAATGTCTACTGTTATAATTAAGCTATAAAGTCCATTTTTCTAATCTTGATCTTGGCATTTAGAAATCGATATCGGGATGGTTTAATAAAAATAAAAAAACTACAACAACAGAAAATCTATATTTTTATCCAGCACTATTTAAACAATTGGCAGATGCTTTTTAAAGTGACGTACGCTGGATTCAAGATATAGATTTTATTGGTTTATTCATTCCTTAGGAATCAAACCCATTAACCTTGGAATTACTGTGTTATGCTTTACTGCCTGAGATACAGGAAAACATTTTAACAGGTTTAAATCCATTTGACAGAATTGGTCATTTTACCTCCTATTCATTTCAGAGGACATTACAATTTTAATCTGTTAGAACTGGAATGTTCACTGTTAAAACTTCACTATTAAAAATTCAGCTCTTGAATTTGACGATATATAACGGGGTTGTATAAATCTAAGACAAAGCAGTTATATGAAATTCATTTTATTTCATTTTATTCCTTTTTAATCCTTGCGAATTTGAATTATAATGCTGCATCCTATTTGCTACCTCAATAGAACCTGAACCTGAGGAAGGCAATTTCAGTTCAATTCTGAGCCCTGTTGTCTAATAATCGAGAAGTTTTGTATGATATTGACTTTAAACCTATTCATGTTAAAGGGATAGTTCACCCAGAAATGAAAAATTGCTGTTGATTTACTCACCCTCAGGCCATCCAAGATGTAGGTGTCTTTTTTTCTTTAGTAAAACACTAAAGAAGATTGTTAGCTGAAACAGTGGTCCTTGGTGATTCATATAATGCAAGTCAATGACTACCGTCACTTTGAGAGTCAAAAAAACATATACAGGCAAAACAAAATGAATACCCGTGGCTCCTCCTGACAACACGTTGAAGCGCATATGTCAATATGCGACAGGAAGCTCACGCTCCAGACTGCCATGAACGCGCTCAGGACCGTTTCCCGAGGCTTTGGATTACAGGTAGGCCTATAATGCAGTAAATACTGTTTCTTGCACAGACAGATCATTTCGCTTCATAAGACCTCAATGTATCGTCAGGAGCCACCAGTATTCATTTTGTTTTGCCTGTATTTTTTTACTCTCAAAGTGACGGTATAAGAATCACCAAGGACCACGGTTTCAGCTAAACATCATTACATTTCTACTGAAGAAAAAAAAAAAAACACACACCTACATCTTGGATGGCCTGAGTAAAGTAAATTTTCATTTTTGGGTGAACTATCCTTTTAACACGTTAAAACAAAATGCCGCAAGTAGCTGCAAGTCATGATGTCAGAAAGAATGGAAGATTTTTGTCTTGATGTTTGCCTTCCTGGTGGGTCATCATGCATCTCGAGCAGATCCTGCTGGGAAGCTGTTAATTAGCCGGATCTCTGTCAAAGCTCTGCTTGGCTGCTAGCCTTTAAGATCATGCATTAAGAAGTTTTAAAGCTACTTAGTCTCACACCAGAGAGATCTCATGGTTCAACGCATTCTCATCCCAAAGCGTAATATTTTGACTCTTTTGCCAAAGCGTCTATATCCAACGCATATGGCACCCTTTAGCGTCAATATAACACGCTTCGGTTTTGGGTAGGTTTAGGTCTGGGGTAGTGTTAGGGTTAGACCACTAGGAGGCGCCATATATCTGCGTCTCAAATGACGCTAAAGGGTGCCATGTGCGTTGGATATAGACGCTTTGGCAAAAGAGTCAGTATATTACGCCTTGGGATGAGAACGGGCTCCATGGTTTGGATCCTCCTCGCTTTATTGTATTTCATTTAGTGAAAGCAAAATCTGTTTTCTACATTCGGAAATGACTAATGACTTAACACTATTAGAGCCTCAGATTCCCAGTATCTTGTCACCGTGTTATTCTCCACCTCTCAGCAGTTGGCCCCTCATAGCCAGGATCCATCTATCTATCTATCTATCTATCTATCTATCTATCTATCTATCTATCTATCTATCTATCTATCTATCTATCTATCTATCTATCTATCTATCTATCTATCTATCTATCTATCTATCTATCTATCTATCTATCTATCTCCATAATGCACTAGGTTATTGCAACTGCCGAATGTTTACAGTCAGCTATCATTCATGACTCCCATGTGAGCTTCTTTTTTTTTCCCAGAAGGTGTTGCTGTACCCCTCTAAAAGGGCCCAGACACAGTAGCGGAGGTCCCATTCAGCGTAGTGACATCTTATTAAAGCGGCACCACGTAATCCTACCAACACCCTCCCTTGCTTTAAATCCGCTCGTCCGGTGCAGTTCCGTAGACGCACAGCACAGCACAGCACAGCCTCCTCCTCCAACAGAGCAGCGCCGCGGCTCGTGTCTCTACGGTAACATGGTGTGCAGCGCGCGGCAGCAGTAGACAGTATCGCTGGACATAAGAGAAGGCGCTCGCGCTGCTTATCCTGCTCTCCTTCCACAACATATCAACACATCGAGGGAAACTTCGCGTTTTTTTGGACACGGTAAGATGGCCAATCATCGCGTCCTGCGTAGCCTACTTACTGTAAAATATTAATATTTTTTAATTCTTAATGACGGAACGTTGGCTCTCCTCTTGCAGTGAGTCTGTATTGTCAAATAGCATCCCATAAGCACGAGTGAAATAACGAGGAAGAGATGGGGAACGATCCCAAATAAAGACTAGTTTTAAAAAGCGACTAAACAAATGTAATTAGAATGGAATGACATAAAATAACGCGATTGCATTATTTTTTTGACCCAGTGATTAATAGTTCACAACACAGGATTTGGGTCATTGTGCAGCCCCCGTGTCGTGTGAACAGTACTTTATGAATGAATTGATAGTTTTGTGATTATGACGACGGATGTAAGGAATGTTTGGATGGGTCAGGGGTCGCGCTCGACGGATGTGCGCGCTTCCAGTAATTCTGTTTTTGGACAGTCAGGCGATGCTATTGTTCGATCTGACGAGCTTCTGAAGAGCTCGAGGAAGCGGGACATGAATCCTGCGCAGGCAACTAGGCTACTGGGATAAGTCATTAGCCTGCTCTAAAAGTGACCAATGTAAAATGATTTTGAAGCAATTATCTACAATGTTTATTGAATTATTATGAGCAGTAGCATACTGTACCTGCATAGGCTGCAATAGACTCCAAAAGCAGTTCGGCGTGCAGTTCGATCTTGGAAAAAAGTGACATATTTACCTTTGTACTGCACAAGTGAGTGACAGAGTGAGTGTATATTTTATGAAGCACTTTTATGATGCTTTAAAAATAACCAGTTAGTTATTTAATCTTTTCGATTAAAGATGAAAAAACAAACAAACAAACAAACAAACAAAAAAAAACAGGCTAGCTACCATGCTTCTTATTGCTTCACTGCTATTATAGAAATCAATGAAAATAAACACATGGTCATCATGACATGGTCAAAATGTTATTTTAAAAGCCTGTTATGCATATAAAAATAACTCACAAAATCCAAGGTCTTATAGGGGTCTAAAAAAAAAGACAAACCAATTAATGTATGCAATTTTGTCCCTTTTATTAATCTGAGTGTCACATCCAAATTTAACTTGCATATGAATGGATCTTCTCCATGCCATTGATGTTGGTGAAGGCTACAGTTATGTAAGAAGATAAGAGTGGGAAAGACGGGCTCATCTGTAACAGTCTGTTTGTAATCAGGCTGTTGGTCCCAGAATCCCTTCAGGACACACTTTATTCAAAGATGCACATTGATCTATGAAAGGGTTATGACATCAGGTCAGGGTGGGGTCAGGGATTTTTTCATGCTTAACGATGTGCTGATAAGTGTGTGAGATTAATGTTTGTGTATGTTCTCATAGATGCGGGTGGGGGGCTGAGTTTTTAGAATTTCATTCTAAATTATATTAAACAAATTTCTATTTTGTGTTCCATGGGAAAAATAAAACCATATTTCTTTGGAACAGTGATAATGGAGCATAATTTGTGTTTTTGGATGCAACAGTTCTTTAAAGAAAATGCTTTCTTAAGTATAGGAGAAAATAGAAGATTTTCAAGTGCTCAAGTGCTCTGTATTTTATGCATGCCATTAGACGCCACCATTTAAAGTAGGATCAGTGCTTGAGACACACGATGCATTGCCTTTGTGAGGCCAGAATCTCCTGTCGGGGCTTTTTCTTGGATTTCTCCTCGAAATCTCGTGGTCTCATTAGCTGTCTCATTAGTTCTCACTGTGCTGTTTTCTTAGTCCGTCAAAGCATGTGATCCTCTTTGGCACTGGTAAAAGGCTGAATAGAACGTGGATCTCATCCACTCAATAGGGAAGCTGTGGTTTGCAGCACATAAAATGTAACTTTATGGCACACGTTATGGTGGAAACACTGGTCCATAAAACATCCACAATACTAGCTGTGAGTTAATGGACATTTGTGATAATATTAGTCATGGCACTTAAACTGGGATAAAGATGACTTTCATGGTCGTTGTTAAAATACATTAAAGTGCCCTTTGTAATTAAGATAATCAAGATATAAATATGGAAATCAAATCACATTAAGTGGTATTGTTTTCAATGCAGCATTGAGACTTTTAGTGCTGCTACAATCAAAAAAGCCTACAAAGATTTTTTAGAGGCATTAAAAAAATTTAAAAATTCAGTTTTGCACTTTTTTTTGCTGTAATATGAGTCAGCGCTATGCCACTCATTTGAACACTGTGAGTAACCAAGCTCTGTGTGTGCCTTACCTGACCACTGCGTTCCACTCAGCCCAATTGTGGCTGCACTGTGGGATGTGATTGTGAGTTTGAGGACCTTTTCAAGGGAGGATGTGGCTTTTGCACCCCACTGAGAAGTTCTTGCTTCCTTTTTTTTATAGCATACCCAGATCCAGCCTTGCACTGCGCCTTCCATTAGACTGCAGAAAGGCAGGGCAATTACTCCCAGCAGCCGCGTTGTGGTTGATTCTAAGGAGCTCTCTCAGAACCGCTATGTTGTTCTGATAGGAAAGTGTGTGGTAGGATGTGAGTATTTGTGTGCTCAAGTGTTTCTAGGTTCGCCTTTGTCTGTGAGTAAATGCAATCGGTGTCATGCTGTTTTTTAATGCTCGCTGGCTGCAGAGAAACTTAAGAGCAATATAAAGTCTGTGGCTATTGCTGAAAATGCACGAGTGCCCTTCTTAAAGTCCCCATGAAATCAAAATTGTCCAAAAAAAGTTTTGGGGCTTTTAGTATGAATATGTTAGCCTTAGTGTTAACTATAAGCTAGTGTGCTCCAAAACAATGACAAAATTCGCATTTAGAAGATATAAGAATTTAAAACTTAGTCTCTCACTTCTGCCAATATGGATCAATGATGTTGATGACATCACTTTGCACATCACCTACGCTACGCTATAAATAGATGCTGAAGCTGCGGCTGAAATCGGTAACTTGTACATACATTTACTATTATCTACATGGTGAAGGGGACATAGTGAATTATAGGGAATAGGGAACGTGAAGTCTGGTTCCGCGTTAGCGAGATGGAGGAGATTAGGAGTAAAATGGTTAGAGATTAGGAAGAAACTACCTCTTTACCGAGCTCAACGGCTCATCACGAGCTGTGTTGTAAACTAAACGCTATTGGCTATTTAAAAAAAGGGGAGGGGCTGTTCGATATGTCCCGCCCTGTCTTCCTGTTTCAGTGAAAACACATTGAATAATGCTGCGCATTTCAAGGCACTTCAGTTTAAGTATAGTAACTTCCATACTTGCAACACTGAGATTAAGCTGTCCAAAATGTGAAGTTGTCTCAAGTACCTCTGTCTCCTTTTCTATGAGGTCATGCTGACCGACAGTGCTTCTGTACGTGGAGTTGAGAGAGCTCTTTCAGTGGACCTTCCCACTGTTCAGATGGGCTGACTTATTTTTTAACATGTACTGAGCCGTGGTGAGTCAGTTCCTTTTGCTGTCATATCTTGGACGACCTTTCATTGACACTGGGGAGTTAAGAGGACCTCTTGAACTTGATGAGAGTTATACTTGGCATTTAGGGATGACTTTGCTGCAGACAAAGATAAGTCAAGTCAAGTCAAGTCACCTTTATTTATATAGCGCTTTTTACAATACAGATTGTATCAAAGCGCTTCACAGTGATAACATGAAAACAATATAACAAAGTTTGTTTCTAAAAGAAATTGCGTCAACGTCCACCTTAAGTAAGGCAGATCAATAATATTAAATGTTAAATGTCCCCAACTAAGCAAGCCAAAAGCCAAGGCAACAGTGGCAAGGAACCCAAACTCCATCAGGTGACAGAATGGAGAAAAAAACCTTGGGAGAAACCAGACTCAGTCGGGGGGCCAGTTCTCCTCTGGCCAACGAAGGAACAGTGCATGATTCGGGCAGCATTACAAGTCAGATTGGATCGGAACATTTAGAGTATTTTTTGGAAGTCCAAGTATGCACGCCGGTCTTAAGACGAGTTGTTGAGGATCAGTGCCGTCCACCATAGAGAGTCCATATCGCCCGTGCTGAGTCGTCACTTCACAGGCTTTGTGATTGGAGCATCTGAAGTCTCCGTGAGAGGCTGGATACAAACTGGAGCTGATGAACGCCATTTTCTCGGGACTCGCGTCCCGAGATAACAGCAGAAAAGCAAAGGGAAAATAATTAGCGTAGCTGCTGTTCATAATGATGATTTCCATAACACAGGCGTAAATGACAAAACATGAAGACAGTGACTCTTGCGTCCCAAAATCACCCCCCTCCGTCCCCCACTCAACTCAGCCCAGCTTACTGACCTCTACGTCCCTCCTGCTGCTGAGACCTAACCACAATCTCACAATCTCTCCGCAGCCCAACCATACGCGCCAACCCGTTGACTAAGGCTGTCGAGCCCCACTGGTGCGTGAATAGGCAGTTTCAGTGGACAACGGTTCCGTATGGCATACTACCTACCGCAACACAATATCTGCCCAACCACCCGTCATTCACGCAATATACAGGAACGTAATGACTGCAAATACTATGCAACCTATACAGATAACCTACAGTCTCTTCAAGTTTTATAGTATTAAATGCATTTGATCTGATTCAGCAGTATTATAAAAGGTAAGCATTATGTAAATGCTTGGCTAAAAAGATGCGTCTTTAATCTAGTTTTAAACTGGGACAGCGAGTCAGAGCCTCGAACAATATCAGGAAGGCTATTCCAGAGTTTAGGAGCTAAATGTGAGAACGCCATCCCTCCTTTAGTGGACTTAGATATCCTAGGAATGACTAGAAGCCTCGAATTTAGTGATCTTAAAGAACGCGATGGATTGTAGGGCGATAGAAGGTCCATTAAATACACAGGAGCTAACCCATTTAGGGCTTTATAGGTCAGTAATAGTACTTTGTAATTGATACGGAACTTGATAGGTAACCAGTGTAGAGATGATAAAATTGGTGTTATATGATCATATTTTCTGGACCTAGTAAGAACTCTAGCGGCTGCATTTTGCACTAACTGTAGCTTGTTTATTGAGGATGCAGGA